ATTTTACACTTTTCAAAAAGTAAGTGAATGTTCCTAAACGAAAGGAAACGAATAAAGATGGAAGTGATTTTTTAAAAATTGTTTCAAAACTATAAAATATATTAAATGTACTTCATCAACTTTTGAGTTTGATAGCTGGCATGGTATCATTCTTGTGAGGTCTTTAGTTTCATACGTTACTTTTAATTTTAATTTTACACTTCTGAAAATATGTCTGAATGTTCCTTGATGTGAGTGAAAGAATAAAGTTGAACGTGAATTTTAAAAACTATTTTTGAAATGAATAATAAATTGTTGTACTTTGTGAACTTTGAGTTTGATACCTGGAATTGTATCATTTTTGCAAGCTTATGCGTTTAAAAAGTGAATTTTAATTTTAATTTTCTGTTAAATTTTCATATTTTATACACTTTTCAAAATATTTTTAAATAACTAAAATAACTGATTAAAATTTTTTTTAATGAATGAAATTTATATATTCATTTTTATTTCATATACTTTTATTTGCTAATTTGAAAAGAAAATAATTTTCATATTTTTACACGTTTGAAAACATAAAAATGAATGGAAAAAAAAATAGTAAATAAAATTATGATAAATGAAATTTGATAAATAATTTGTTATTATATTTATTTTCATTTTTATATATTTATTTTATTTTATTTATTTTGTTTTAATTAATTCTATGATTTTCTAAAATTATTTTAATTTTTATTAATTTTCATATTTTTACACTTTTGAAAAAATGCGTGAATGTTCCTTGGGGTGAGTAATAGAAGAAAGATGGAAGTAAATTAAAAAATATAGTTTTCAACCAGAAAAAAAAAAATTAAATGTACTTTGTGAACTTTGAGTTTGATATCTGGCTTTGTATTATTTTGTGAGCTATTCAGTCTCATAAGTTAATTATAAGTGTAATTTTCAGCTCAATTTTCATATTTTTACACTTTTGAAAATGTTTTAAAAAATTTAAATAAGTAATAAATAAAATTAAAATGAATGAAATTTATTTAAATATTTTTATTACACTTATTTTTACTTGTATATATTTATTTTATTTTTGATTTATTTTATTGTTATTATTTTTCTTATTTTTCTTAAGTATTTTATTTCACCTTTAAAAATTAACTTTCATATTTTTACACTTTTGAAAACATTTTTAAAAAAATGAAAGTAAACAAAAGTTATTTATTAATTTTTATTTTGTTTATTTTTCCTTTTTTTCATTTTGTATATATTTTATTTATATTATTTTTAATATTCATTTATATTTATTTATTTATTTATATTACTTAATTTTTATGTTACACCTTTGAAAATGTATTTTAAAAATAAAATAAATAAGAAATAGAAAAAAGAATAAACAAGATGTATTTACATATTTTTTTAAATTATATATTTATGTTTATTTTTATTTATTCATTTTTAACTACTGCTTGGCACTCACAGATAAATATACATTACATCCTATACTGAAAGTGTAACGGCCGACCCTAAAATAGACAAAAAGTGATTTGGATGAAAAACAAAAAAATTTCCAGCTGGCTAAACAAAAATTATGTTCTAGAATAAAGGGGGGGTTTTGTGCTTACTGCAGCTTGGCACTGACAGAAAATTATATATTACATCCACTACTGAAAGAGTTAATGACAAACTCAAAAATAGACATGATTTATTTGGATTTTTTTTTTTAAAGACCTTTTCCAGCTGCCAGGGATGAAAATTACAATCTAAAATAAATGTATTTGTTGTTTACTACAGTTTGGCACAGATGAAAACGTATACATAACATCTATTACTGAAAGTGTAACGACCGACCCAAAAAAGACTTAAGTGATTAGTTTGGGGGTTTTTTAACACCTTTTCCACCAGTTGAGACCAGAACTAAGTTCTAGAATAAGGTTATTTGTTGTTTACTACAGCTTGGCACTGACAAAAAAATAAGTTATACATCCATTAATGAAAGTTTAACGGCCGACCGAAAATTTGACATAACTGATTTAGAATTAAAAACGACTGTTTCACCTGAAAAAAAACGAAAATTAAGTTCTAGAATAAAACTATTTGTTTTCCAGCTGCTGAGATGAAAATTACGAACTAAAATAAAGATATGTGTTGTTTACTATAGCTTGGCACAGACGAAAAAGTATACATAGATAACATCTGTTGCTGAAAGTGTAACCTCCGATTCCAAGATAAGGTTATTTGTTGTTTACTACAGCTTGGCATAAACTAAAAAATAGACATTACATCCACTATTGAAAGTGTAACGTGTGACCCTAAAATAGCCATAAGTGATTCGGAAGAAAAACAAAAGTTTGGTTTTTTCCCGCTGGCGAGAAAAAAAAGTATGTTCTAGAATAAAGTTATTAATTGTTGTTTACTACAGCTTAGCACAAACTTGTACTGGCACTTCGCAGCAACAGTAGCAGCTACTGTAGCAATACAAAACTAATACTATAAATATCACAGAAAACATTAACCTGTCCCAGTGGTTTTATGCAACCCGCATAATTTAGCAAAATTTGATCATTTTTTGCACAATTCCTGATTATTTTCCTTTATTATTCTTTGTCAAAATTAACAGAATTGCATAATTTCACATTTTTGGGGGGCTCATTTTGCATGATTTCAGGATTTTTCTTGCATAAAACAACGGGGACAGATTAACTATGTACTTTATTGTTGCTGTTTCATTGTTGGACTTATCTTTCCCTGTGACCGTGGGTGAGAAATGATACACGTATTATTCATTGATCTCTCGCAAAATTAAACGTTTCAGTCGTGATGTTGATATTATATATATACTCCAAAACCGGCTCAGAATTTTCAGCCAATATTCGATACTTCCCTTAATCCATCAATATTCGATGCGTCTATTGTCCTGTAATATTTCGATACTTTTTTGCGTGACATTATTTGATAGCTTTCTGGTCAGATCATCATTTTCATGACATCTAATTAAATTCATCGTATTATTATGTTAGCCACAATTTCTTTTAATGAATTTGGATGAGGTAAAACGAAACGGATTGAGAACACCTTACCTATCGTACATATCTATAAAATAACATAACGCCATTTTGTTTATAATATAGTCAATGTGCAGACATTTAAATTATACTATGGCCATGTTTAGACTAAATTCACAAATATGTTGCTTCTAAATAAAGATCAATAAACATTTCCTGAGGCATACAAAGAATCGCAACCTTTCCCCTATTTCGAAAAAAAAAACCCTCCTTGCTTGCTTTGTTTTTTCTTTATTTAAAGCGGCTTTTCTTTTGTTCTGTTCTTTGGGAAGAATGACAATTTTTCACTGGCCTCGACTATGCCCTGCATGATGGAAGTTATCAATGACAACATCAAAAAGAGTAAATGAATGATTGGTTGATAGTATGAATTGAATTTTATTTTTCAACTGTTTTTAACGAAAGAACATTTATTGTTGAAATTTTACATAGTAATTTGCTTTGATTTGCATACAAAAAGGAAGAAATATTGAACAAAACAAGCTGAATTGATATTTTTTAAGAGGGACTATCTTTACAAAGCCAAATTGAAGATGGAGATTTTTTTTAAAAACTTAAGTTACGACTACAGTGTTAAAGTGCTGTAAGTATGACTGTCATCAATACTCAAAATAATACTTAAATAAAATTGTGACAAACTGTAGTTTGTCCTATGACAAACTGGGCCTGTGACAAACTGGGCAGCCCCCTCTCAGATAAGGGTGAAAAATCTCGGAGGTCTCGTGTGCAAGTTGTGCACGTTAAAGACCCCTTGGTGGTCCAAAATCGATAAGAGTAGGCTTCAGCCGCCACCCAGGCAAGATTCAAGAATCAAAATGAATTCCTGCCAAACTGAAAATGTTTAATATGTTCCACGCTATCATTTGACCGTGGGCAGTTGCAAGCGCGACAAAACACATACCACATCACCCCCACCCCCATCAATAATGCATTGCAATTCATAATAAATGATGCATAGTTTATTCATAATGGGTTTTTTTTTCATTCAAAATACGTATTGCTCATTCATAATACTATGTAAATGCTTTTCTCATTCATAACAAATCTTTCTTTATCAAAACAATCAGGAATATCACGAAATAATGTGGAGAACTACAAGATGAGACAAAATACATAATGTACGTGATGTATTGCACAGCAGTCGATACGCATCGCATTTTCTCGATACATGAACAAAAGGTGTCAAATTTGATTTATAATACGTCGTAATAATACATGTACATTACATCACAATTGAGGATATGGAGAAACACTGGTGGTCACCAAATATCAGAATAAATTGAAATCATTTAAATAACTAAAAACTATTTGACATTGTTAAGCTGATCGTAAAAAATAACCAGTCGTTGTTTATTCATTTGTTGTTGCTGCTATTTTTTTAGATATAAAGTTATAGATATAAAAATCACTAAGTAGGATACTGTACCAAAGAAGATCTCAATCCCTATGGCCTGACAGATAATACAAAAAGTTGACTCTGGTAAAGAAGTTAGTTGGAATTCTGTCTCATAAATACCATAATAATATCTCTCTTTCTCCCTCACCACCCCCCCCCCCCCCCTCTCTCTCTCTCTCTACTCTCTCTCTCTCTCTCTCTCTCACTCACTCTCTCTCTCACTCACTCTCTCTCTCTCTTTCACACACACACACATACACACACACACACACACACACACACACAGACAGACAGACACACACACACACACTCACACACACTCACACACATCCCCTCTTTATATATCTCCCTCACCCCCTCCTCTCTCTGTCTCTCTGTCTCTCTCTCTCTGTCTCTCTCTCTCTCTCTCTCTCTCTCTCTCTCTCTCTCTCTCTCTCTCTCTCTCTGTTCCCCCCCCCCCACACACATACAACACACACACACACACACACACACACACACACACACACACACACACACATACGCACAGAGACACACACACAGACACACACACACACTCACGCTGTTTTACTTTCACTTTTTATAATATGTATATATCTACTTTCAATCCGATACAAAAATCCCGGCTGTTCAATACTTGTAGTCTATGTCCGAGTTGACGAGGCGAACCTGTGGCGTAGCGTTGCGGAAGACAATACATTTGATAATGAGCACACCGAGCATTGCGCCCAACACTAGACTCCCGATTATACTCCCCACCAGGGCTCCTGGGGACAACAAAGAGAGACCAATATAATAATAATAATAATAATAATAATAATAATAATGATAATAATAATAATAATAATGATAATAATAATGATAATAATGATAATAATAATAATAATAATAATAATAATAATAATGATAATAATAATAATGATAATGATAATAATAATAATAATGATAATAATAATAATAATAATGATAATAATAATAATGATAATAATGATAATAATAATAATAATAATAATGATAATAATAATGATAATAATAATAATAATAATAATAATAATAATAATAATAATAATAATAATAATAATATAAGGCATCTTGATGAAATCGAAGAAATCGACATTTTTTCGCCTTTTGACAGTGCAAATTTATTTCGTTTTTTACATTTTTATTTATTCATTTATTTCATTTATTTCTTTTGTGTTGTGTGTGTGGGGGGGGGGGTATAGTTTTTTGTTTGATATTGTCGTTGTTGTTGTTGTTGTTGTTGTTGTTGCTCAACATCTTTAATTTCCATTTTCTGTGCTGTGTGGATTTTATTGAAAAACTTTTATCGAAGGCACTTTTAACAAATGTATGTTAGCTTATAGTCTCCAAGGGCACCCAAGCTTTGAAAGCCACAAAACTTCGACAGCCATTTCCTCGCTAATTTTACCTCTCTGACACGAAGAGATCCCACAGATTCCGTTAATCTCAAATATCTAAATTTCAACTTCTATTCAAGATGGATGACTTTTTAAAAAATTATCAAAGGCAAGACAAATTGACAAGACTTATGGTGATGATACCAGTAACTCCATATTATGCCCAAAAACTGTCGAGCGCAAGATTTCCAAAAACTGAAAGAATTTCAAATCTCTAGACCTTAAACTTAAACAGTTGTCAGACTGGTCGGGCGGTAAACCGTCAACTAAACCAGAAAAATCGAGGTGGACCTTCAACTAAACCAGACAAATCGATGTAGACCTTCGACTAAACCAGCACCAGCGTATCTTTGGTCTATCGAATGCCCAGTAAGAGTACTGTCATAGACGTGAAGGTAACTCACCTACTGAGACACTCGATGAGGAATCCTTATTTGAAACTTGTTTCAGGTACAAACTGCAGTCTTTCTTGCTTGGCGTGCGGTTCATAGGACGGAGTGTGCTACATTGGCAGACTTTGTTAGAACAAGGCTTGCATGGGGTTGTGTGGGTGGGGCTCCGTGAGCAGTCGCACATGTTGTGTTTCACACACTGCACGCGGCATCCTGGCCAACCAATCACAGAGGAAGGGTGTGTGTTAGAGGACGGGGTTTGTGTCTGTGGGCAAGTACAGGGTGTTGGAGATGGGCACTTGTTTGTCTGTGAGGGAGGGCAGGAGCAGGAGGATGGTGGTTTGGCAGAGGAAGAAGGGGTCTGAGAGGCGTGTGGAGATGACTCAATGGGTGGTGGGTGTGTCCCAGGGGTGGTTTTTATCGGAGGGGCGATGGGAGCCAGTGTGGTTGTGGGCGTGGTTGAGGCTGCTGTTGTAAAGTCCTTGCTGAAGTCTACCTTCAAGATCTGCATTGGTTTTAGGGAGATCGGCTGTAAATAGAAACGAGAAAAAAAAAGACCTTAAAAACAATTATTTTAGGGAAGGACTTCAGTAACGAGTGACCACTATGAGACAGAGTAAAATAGAGGGCTTGGGATAGGGGTAGGGGTAGGGGTAGGGGTAGGGGTATGGGTATGGGTAGGGGTAGGGGTAGGGGTAGGGGTAGTTGCAGAGTTAAGGTTAGGGTTAGGGTTAGGGTCAAGGTTAGGGTTAGGGTTTGAGTTTGGGTTAGGGTTAGGGTTAAGGTTAGGGTTAGGGTTAGGTATCTTCTTTGTTGTGTTTGTTGGGGTGGTCGCTCGTTACGAAACTCCTTCCCATTTTAGTACAGTGTTTTTACGCCCCCAGTGACACGATTGAGGTCACTTAGGAGACCAGTTTCTCAAACTGTCTGTCAAGGTCAGTCCGGAGTGAAAAGGAAATAATGTCTCAGTAGAAAGACCGAGATATTCAATAAAAATTCACCCCACTCAAGAATCGAACTGGTGTCTCGATCCAAAGCGCCAAACCGCTATACCACAGACGCCAGAGGGAAAAGAGACAGGTCGGTGATAATTATAACATATTTTGTATTGAAGTATCCTACTATAGACACATATGGGCCCTTTCAATCGCCAATGTGCAAAAACCACTTGGCGCAGTGTGGGGTTACCAGATGGTGCCCATATCCGAGCCCATATGGGGCCAATGTGGTGCCCATCTCTTTGTGCAGGCTGGTTAGGAGGCGTGCAATGCCACAGCACTGCCATGACTGTTATTAACATTATTTTTATTATTATTATTAT